AATTGGGGAGTAAACCAGAGGATGGAAACCTCTCTCTCTCTCTGCCTCTCCTGTGTAACTCTTCAAGTAAAATAAATAAAGATTAAAAAAAAGAAAAAAGAGTTATCTGTACCCCCATGTTTATTGCAGCTCAATTCACAGTAGCTAAGATATGGAATAAACCCAAATGTATGTCAACTGAAAACTGAATAAAGAAATTATGAGGTGTGTACACCATGGAACACTACACAGCGGCAAAAAAAAAAAATCCTGTTGTTTGAAACAAAATAGATAAAACTGGAAAGCATCATACTTAGTGAAATAAGTTAGTTCCAAAAGGACAAATCTGTGAGAACTAACTAAAAGGAAATCTATAGAAGTGAAACTGACACTTGGAGATGTAGTGACTTTGCACATCCCTTGTCCCAACTGCTGAGGAACAGGTTTGGTTTTTTGTTTTTTGTTTTTTTTTTTTTTTTTGTACAATTTGTTGAACTCTTTACTTAGAGTTAATCTCATGGGTATAAATTTAACTGAAAATAGATCTTAGTCTCTTAGAATGACATTCACTGTAAATAACACTCTGACCTCAGAATCAACCCTTAAGGCTTCCTGGTCTGGCTGAAAGGTCTGTAAGAGCATTTCAGGCATGGAAAGCCAAGACTCTGTGGCAAAAAATATCCTACACAGAGGATCTCTTTGAGACCTCAGTGGAAAAAAGGGGCCATCAAAGAAAGATGTACTTTTCTCTGAAGGGAGGAAAGAACTTCCACTTTGCTTATGCCTTGTCCAAATACTAATGGAGTCTGTGGTCACAAAAGGCTTCCATAGCCTTGGCAGACCATGGCAAGAGCCTTGGGTGATCACTGACGTCATAAATAAGAGTGTTAAAGGAACAACAGAAGTCATTGTGCACTTACTCCCCATGTGGGACCTCTGTCCTTGATGAGTTGTGCTATGAGAAGTAACTGCAAATCTTGTTCTCAAACTGTTCTTTATACATTGCACATATGTGTGGATGCAAACTGTAGAAATCTGTGCTTAACATGGAGTTGGTCCTCTGTAAAATCAAAAAATGAACCATAATGAAGAAGGGGATGGGAGTCGGATGGGAGGGTGGGTATTGGGGAAAGAACCACTATGTTCCCAAGGTTGTGCCTATGAAAAACACATTCATTAAATAAAAACGTTAAAAAATTAAAAAAGAAAATATCTCTTAGTAAGAAAATAAGAATAGGGATAGGAGAGGGAGGAGGGAGAGGGGTGGGAGTATAGGTACTGTGGGAAGAGTCATTATGACCCTAAGGTTGTATTTATGAAATACATGAAGCGTGTACTCCTCAAATAAAAGGTTTCTGGGGGAAAATTAGCCTGCTGCTTGGGGCTGGTGCTGTCAAGTAGCGGGAAAAGCTGTCACCTGCAGTGCTGGCATCCCTGCGGGTGCTGGTGCCAGTCCTGGCTGCTCCACTTCCGATTCAGCTCCCTGCTAAGGAGCCTGGAAACGCAGCAGAAGGTACCTGAGGAAGCTCCAGGCTCCTAGCTTCTGCCTGGTCCTGCCCTGGCTGTTGCAGCCATTTGGGAAATGAATCAGTGAACACACGATCTGTCTCCCTGTCTCTCTGTGTAATTCTTCCAATAAGTAGATAAATAAATAAATCTTTAAAGAAAAAATTAGCGTGTTGTGGATTTATTGAATTTCGGGTTTTGTCTGCAGTTGCTTTGGCAGGGCTGGACTTCCCTGACCCCTGGACTAAAGGAAAAAATCACTTCTCAAAAATTAAAATGCAAATAAAGAAAACAGTGTTTCCCTTATCTTCCACTCACCACATTCAAGTTTGTTCGGCTTTCTTGAAAAGATAAATTATCTGAACTTTGTAATTTTTAAATCATAAAAATACTTCTAAAACTCTAATACGAATCCTGACTTAGTAAGAAAATTAATTTATGTTAAACAGAAGAAATCCCACAGGGAGCCATACCAGTGCCTATAAAATACTACCCAGTGCACTATCACCCTCTTGGGACAGCTGCCTGCAGGGTTCTGACCATTTCCCAACGTAACCAGGAAACCAACAGCAGGTCTCAGAGCCATGGTGACCAACCTGAGAGGACCAGCCAGCCTCGGAAGCTGGCCCCACGTGGGTGACCAGCAGTGGGCACTGTTCCCCAGCTCAGCAGGCAGAACCAGCCCTTTGCCCAAGCTGTGCAGGCCCTATTCTGGTGCCAGCTATGTGCACACCCAGACAGGCAGCTCTCTCTCGGGTTCTCACAGGAAGCTGGGGCCTGGCGCCCGACTGCCACCGTGTGGGAACCCGGCAAAGGACAGCACAACCTTGGCCCTCACAAGGCCTGGCCCTGCCCCTCCCTTGTGACCTCATCTAGGGGCCAGGACACAGCCCACTCAGGACCCCTACAGGTCTTCTGATCTCACCCCTGGACCCTGCAGCCCCCTCCCCTCCCCACCCCTGGACCCTGCAGCCCCCTCCCCTTCCCACCCCCATACCCAGAAGCCCCCTCCCCTCCCCACCCCTGACCCTGCCGCCCCCTCCCCTCCCCACCCCTGGACCCTGCCGCCCCCTCCCCTCCCCACCCCTGGACCCTGCAGCCCCCTCCCCTTCCCACCCCTGGACCCTGCAGCCCCCTCCCCTCCCCACCCCGACCCTGCCGCCCCCTCCCCTCTCCACCCCTGGACCCACAGAGCCCCCTCCCCTCCCCACCCCTATACCCAGAAGCCCCCTCCCCTCCCCACCCCTGACCCTGCAGCCCCCTCCCCTTTCCACCCCTGGACCCTGCAGCCCCCTCCCCTTCCCACCCTGGATCCTGCAGCCCCCTCCCCTTCCCACCCCTGACCCTGCAGCCCCCTCCCCTTCCCACCCCTGACCCTGCCGCCCCCTCCCCTTTCCACCCCTGGACCCTGCCGCCCCCTCCCCTTCCCACCCCTGACCCTGCCGCCCCCTCCCCTCCCCACCCCTGGACCCTGCCGCCCCCTCCCCTTCCCTGGACCCTGCCGCCCCCTCCCCTTCCCACCCCTGGACCCTGCCGCCCCCTCCCCTTCCCACCCCTGGACCCTGCCGCCCCCCTCCCCTTCCCACCCTGGATCCTGCAGCCCCCTCCCCTTTCCACCCCTGGACCCTGCAGCCCCCTCCCCTCCCCACCCCTGACCCTGCCGCCCCCTCCCCTTTCCACCCCTGGACCCACACAGCCCCCTCCCCTCCCCACCACTGGACCCTGCAGCCCCCTCCCCTTCCCACTCCTGGACCCTGCAGCCCCCTCCCCTTCCCACCCTGGATCCTGCAGCCCCCTCCCCTTTCCACCCCTGACCCTGCCGCCCCCTCCCCTTCCCACCCCTGGACCCACAGAGCCCCCTCCCCTCCCCACCCCGACCCTGCCGCCCCCTCCCCTTCCCACCCCTGGACCCACAGAGCCCCCTCCTCTCCCCACCCCTGACCCTGCTGCCCCCTCCCCTTCCCACCCTGGATCCTGCAGCCCCCTCCCCTTCCCACCCCTGGACCCACACAGCTCCCTCCCTTCCCACCCTGGACCCTCAGCCCCTCCCCTCCCATCCTGGACCCAGCAGCCCCTTCCCCTCCCCACCCCTGAACCCTATAGGCCCCTCCCCTCCCACCCTGTACCCTGCAGCAGACAGGCTGATTCCAGGCCTATAGCTGACAGCACAGCTGGTGGCTGCCCAGCCCCCAGGACCCCCCCCCACTACAGCCATGCCTTCAGCATCCTGAACGGAGCCCTGGGTTGACACAGGTGCTCAGGGGTCCCTGGTTCCCTCAGCCTAAGAACACCGTATCTGTTGACAGAAGGCCAAGCCTCAGGTCTCACTGCCAGGACGCTGGGGCAAGCACCACACTCCTGACAGGGCCCAGGGAGGCCCACCTCACCCCTGCCCAGTGTGTGCCACTCTTTGCTGAGACCATGTCATTCCCACGGGACCCCTCCCCAGAGCACCAACCCAAGGCCATGACTGACAGCAGAGCTTCTGAGAGCAGAGGTGAGGACGACATGGGGGGGCGGGAACACAAAGACATAGGAACACAAGAAACCACTCACCCTGAAACCTGCACAGCAGGGCCAGGCGGCAGAGGGCAGCACCAGGAGGCTTCAGAGAGGGGAGGCAGGAGAGGCCACACATCTGCCCCGGGGCGGTCAGGGTCACGCTTAGCACAGCACAGACCAGCTGTGGGCCAGGTGTGGCCTCGTCAGCAGCCCTGACGCCCTGGGAGGCCAGGGCTGGCAGAGCTGCACAGACCGGGCACGCACGCCCTGCCTCCCCACAGCCCGACCAGGCAGGAAAACAGCTGTGGCCACCAGAGCTGGCTGGGGCCTGCAGTGGACCTGAAAGGCAAACTGGCAGTGCCCGCTGCCCTCCAGCAGCTCCCATGGCCCCTCTCCCTGCGAGCCTCGGGCACACTGCGCGGCGAACACGGCCGCTCTACCGTCACTCACGGCCTGTGCTCATTTCTGTGGTCCTCAGCTCATGGATGCATTCGTGTCCATGGAATCAAATGTGTACGTTGGGTCTCCCCCTTGCCCACGCAGAAACCCAGGAGTAAGAGGCTACCAGCCCCTTGGGAGAGAACACATGTGGTCCCCTCGTCTGTCACTTCCAGGAGTGCACAGAAACCCCACAGTCAGGACAGGGCTCTGGGAGGAGGGCCCGGCACTGACCGCAACCCGGACACACACAGGCAAGCAGGGTCTGCGGCCCCAGCCCAGCCACTGCTTCTAGAGAGGGTCCCGTTTGTAGACAGATGACACGGTGCCACTGTGCAATGGCCAGCGGATACTGAGAGGTAAAACCCCAGGCCCCCCGCACCTTGAGGGAGGGCGGAAGGTGCACAGGCCCTGCCTGGCCACACCTCTCTCAGAAACCATTCACTGCTCTGTGAAAGCTCCAACGCATCCTCTGCATCTGAAAATGGTGTGAAAAAGCCAGGAAAAGTGCCACCGGCTCCGGTGACTGATCAGTGCCACAGTAAGCAGAGGCCAGTAACCAGGCAGACTCACTGTGAGAGTTCAGAAACAAGTTTTATTTTTAAAAACCTCACTGTTACCACCGAAGCTAGTAGAACAAATGCAGGAGGCAGCACACGGGCCGCCCACAGCCAGGCCCCAGGCCACAGCCCCACTCGATGACTCCAGAGCGACTTGGCAGGTTCTCTCAAGAAAAGAGCACACCAACCAGTACTTGTATGAAAACTAGTTATTTTAGTTGAAGAGGAAGGACAACCACTGACACATGGCTCTGTGGAGAGCGTGCCCATGCTGCCCCAGTCTGCCCGTCCCAGTGTTGAGACCAGCTGCACATCAGTCACTCGGGGAGGCGGGCGGCAGGCACTTAGCATCAGCACGAGGGCATGGAGTCCCCACGTACCCACGGCAGGGCTGGGCGTTCAAGTTCCCACACAGGACGGCTCTGGCCGGGGCTGCCCGGGATTCACACCAGCATTCACCTGAGCTCGCGGGATTTTCCAATCCACTGTTACCCTAAGAATCCAAAACTTTCCTCTGCTTATGAAACAGAGAAAACCTACAATGCAGCATTTCAAGATTCAGCACAAACTGGAATTATCTGAACACCATTTAAAGCATGTCCCCTTCCCAAGTGAGCTTCTTGTCCTAGCAAAGAATGACAGATGGGTGACAGATGAGTGAGTTTTAGATCACTGACAGATCCAGACTCAGGTGGCAGGCCAACAGAGGGACACAGATGCAGACCACGGATGAGAGGTTGATCCACGGTCATTTTCCACCACCCCATGGATAAGATGAGACAACAGGGACACAGCTGTGACAGAGATGATTGAAAGCAGCCACGGATGAGACACTGGTGATGAATGGCAGGGTCTACCTTGTTCTGCCAGAACACAGGCCCTCGGGAGCGCTGACCCTGACTCCGAGCTCAGCCCCAGCATGCAACGGGAGCCTTTGCTTTTAACCGAAACAACCAGGAGCACACGTGTACATCCAACATCTGGGATACAGGCTGAGGACCTGGGGCTGGCTGTGTGGGAGAAACACAGCTCCCCATGGCTGACACCAGGCACACAGACGGCTCACTTGGGCACGACAGAGAGGCACTTCAGCGCGCACACACAGTTCTAATTCTCAGTGAGCAGCTTAACGTCTTCCAAACAAAACTCAGTCATAAAGTGACGGACCTGTACCCACACTTTATAGCATTGCTCTAATATGCAAATAAAAAGAGAGCCAGTTTTCAAAGAAAATAAAGATAAATAGTTAAAAGTTCAGGAGCCATAAAAATAAAACTCCCAGAAGAGCCATCATTGCATCCGGTGCACGGAGGCCGTCGCCCCTCAGCAGCAGACGAGTGTGCAAACTTAAGCCTTGCTTTTCAGTGACTTGTCTACAGGTTTTTAATTCAGGAGGGAAAAGTTTAATTTGTTGAGTTACACAGGAGACTCATCTCATTTCCTGAACTGCAATTTTCTGGCAACTGCATGGCTGCTACATTCCCGTGTCACACATGGGACACGCATGTTGCATGCAGGAGCAGGTAGGAGGTAGGAGGGGCAGACGGCTGTGGTCAGCGGCACAGCCATCCCTGGGGTCAGCGCAGAAACCCTCATCTTGGTCTCGGCAGACAGCGGCGACGCGCAGACAAGCGTCGCTGTGGTGAGGCAGTGGACGGAGCCCGCGCAGGCGCCACGGCACAGTGTGGAGGTCAGGTCACCTTCAGGCATTAGGTCAGGCACAGAGTGGCTTCTCTACCTCCTCTAGGGCGCCGACGCGGCCACGGCTCAGCCTCACTCGGCCTCCTCCCAGCCGTCCCGCAGGTGCCCCTTGCTCTGTCGGCGGATGCTGACCAGCTTCCCCGCGGACCTGAGGCTCCACCGGGAGCTGCCCCCTGAGCTGGCCAGGCTGGTGTACTTGGTGGAGCCCTTGGTGGCATCCTCCCACTCTGGCCAGGGCGGGCAGCTGCCCAGGGCGTCCCCTGAGTTGGCTGCTGCGTCTTCCAGAGCAAGCCTGGGAGGCTCCCAGCCTTCAATCTCATCCGGCTTCTTGGACTGTGTGTTCTGTTTTAAGACCAAACTGTCCCAAAACCCAGACTTCTTCTCTGTCTTCAACTCTTCTTTTAGCCGTGAATTAGCTCTACAGGAGACGAAAGAGGGATCTTAGGAAAGTGTCCTACATACAAAGTTCTCTTCTAGAAAGTTACAGTGTGCAGAAAGCTATGTGAACACTTCTGAATGTGAAAATTATTGCAGACAATAAGGAAAATCAGTTCCACCCACTGCTTAGCATGCTTGGTGGAGGCCGTATCTGAGCACCTGACAACACCTGGGGACAGTCGCATCCCAGACCAGACTTGGCTGTGGGGGCCTCAGTGAGGCCGAGCGAGGGCAGAGCCCCAGCGTCTGAGCAAACAGACGCTCACACATCCAGGGTCCAGACTGAGGAACAAGGGGAGAAAGTGCCCCAGCATCAGACGGGCGTTCAGTGGCGTTGTTGACAGCACAGGGGTGAGGCACTGTCAGAGTCCAGGAGTCCCTCTGTTTTAAGGAAGTGGGAGCCGGGCTGACCCTCAGGCACTGCTGTCCCTGCAGGCCGTGACAACGAGGGGCCCCCACCCCTCGCCCTGCATGGCCCAGAACACAGGTGAAGCCTTGCTCAGCCAGAGCACACAGGGTGTGAATCCCCGCCAGGGCACAGCAGCGCAGGGACGCCCTGGGGGCAGGCGATCGGTAGGCTCAGCGGCGCCCACCGGCGACCGTGACACCACTAGGTAGCTGCTGAATCTGTTTTCAACTTTAAGGACCCTTCTTAACATTCTGGAATGTTTATAATAAAGTTAGCAGCCACATGCCGGTTCACATCTCTCACGGTCGGTGCCTCCGCCCTCTGCTTTGCAGCAAGTCCAGCGGTCAGCGCTCAGGCCGCTTCGCCTCTGCTCGGCCTCTCAGAAGCCGCTCCCCAGAGGAAAGCCTGCTTTGTTTTGTCTGGAACATGCAAGGCCGCCCATTTCTACTGACTCAAAGAGAGAAGGAGACACGGCACCCAGCTGGGACCCCCAGCAGGGGCAGGCAGGGTGCCCTCCCCACGTGGAAACCACTGCCCCGGTCCTGGTGAGCCCAGCCGACTTACCCTCTGGACTTGGGAGGTTTGCGGCTTTCGAGCAGGTACTGTTCATCGTCTTTGTTGAACAGAGAAGTCACCTCTTTCCAGCCTCGGAAGCTGGCTCCCTGAACCCAACGAGAGGGTGAGGGAGATGTCAGAATCACGTCACGGAGTGAGAACCAGAGACGTTTTCCACCCCAGCAACCACGGCGCTGGAACATTGGAATTCTCACACCTGTGCATGGCTTAACAAGGACACGTCCTGAGACGTGCCTGTCCAATGGCACACACACACCCATGTGGCCAGGCCAGCCTCGTGACACAATCAAGCACCTTGGTGAGCGGCCGGCGCTGTAGTACAGCAGGTTAAGCCACCAATGGCAATGCTGGCATCCCATAGGGGCGCTGGTTCTAGTCCTGGCTGCTCCACTTATGATCCATCTCTCTGCTCTCAGTTCCAGCTTCCTGCTACTGCACCCTGGGAGACAGCAGGTGATGGCTGGGACCCTGCCAAATTTGAGGAGTGACCTGAAATAATTTTTTGAAAACAAATAAGGGGAAGCTTCTATTGTGTGACCTTCAGCACAGCCGGGAAACAACAGGATGTCAGCGACAGTCACCAAGTTCTGTCCTATGATAGTGGCTGTCTCAAGGTCACATGTACCTGGGGTCTAGGGGCCCCAAGGTGCAGGGGCCCCCACCCCAGGGACCCCAGGTCCTCTCCTACCTTAGACCCTACCCTAAGGTCCTCTTTCAATAAAACCAACCCCTCCTGCCTGACAAGCCAGTGCACACCTGGAAGGGGCAGGGGAGGGGCCCAGGGACCCTGTGGAAGCCCCAGGCCCAGCCATGGCCTCCCTGTTCCCCAGGAGAATGCATATCCATAGCTGGGGGCAGAAGGAAACAGCAAACCAAGAGTTAGTAAATATGGTGAGAAATTTCAAAAAGGGGTAATAACGAGACGGTAGTGCTGACTCCTGGAAAACTCGGAGCTTCTGGGAAACCTGCTGGCCCTCTTGAGGGTCCTGGGACAAGAGGCAGTCAGCAGAGCAGATCGATCATCGTTGAAAACCAGGCCGCCCCACCGGTTCCCATACATTGACTGCCAGCAAGTCACAGGTCTCAGCCACCCTGGCTCCAGTCTTGTCTGGAAGAGAGCTCACATCACGACGGCCCCTTCACAGTGCCGGCCAGAACCTGAGGGGTCCATCTCAGCCGAGCAGCCAGGGCAGGCTTGAACCTCCGCTACCACCTGCACTCCCCACACGTAGGGGAGAGATGAACTCCGTGGCCAGAGCCTCAGCAGAAGGAAGCCACCTGAGACACCTCGGCCTGCAGCCACCGCAGGGCTGCCATTCCTAACCCGCGTTCTCCAACTGGAAAGCACCAAGAGGACCCTACTGACGACCTTCTCTCAACAGAAGCCGAGAGAAATCTGGGGACCATCAGCTGTGACAGCGGTGGCCAGGTGCAAGGGGCCGACACGGCGTCAAGTGTCAGCCCCTCTCCACCGCCCACCTCCTCGTTCACAGGGAGCTCGGGCTCGGACAGGTCTGACGCAATCCATCACCCAGGCCCACAGACCTACGTGGCACAGCTGTTTAACACCCAGGAATATCGCCAAATCACGCAGTCAGTGCTAAAACGCCTGGAAGAGCATGCTCTGAGACTGTAAAGGTCCACTTTCCTGAAGACAAATGAAGCCCTGGAGTCTCGAATGCTGGAGAGCTGTCAAGAGGCTCTGTTAAATGGCGGGAAGGCAGGAGGGGGAAAGACCGTGAGTGTGAACAAAACCTCAGAAGTGCTGCAAGGGCCTGAAGCGAACCCAAGTTCGTTCTGAGAGGCCGTGTGAGGCTTTGTGTCCACATGCCCTCGACCCCGAAGTGGCAGAAAATCAATGGGTGGTGGACACCACCTTCGTTGGCCAGGCCCAGGGAGACATCAGACCCAAGCAACACAAGCGAGAGGGCTTTGCTGGAGGTCGTCACCAGAGGGCTTGTCGGGGGCTTCTGGAAGCCTGCCGGGAAGCTGCCTTGCTCAATGCCACAGCTCAGTGCAACAGTCAGGACACCCCCAGAGAGGCACTCCAGCAGCTGCATGGTGAGGACAGGGAGAGGTCGGCCAGACTGGGATGGAACCAACGTGCCACTGTCACCAGGAAGGCCACTGGAAAACAAGCGTCCCCAACAGTTGGGAAAATGTCACCCAACTCCCTAGCACTACCAGCCCTGACAGTGACCGCCCAAGACCTCAGGGGAAGACTCTGTGCACCCAGGACCACGGGGAACGACGAGGGAGCCTGTGTGCACCCAGGACCACGGGGAACGACGAGGGAGCCTGTGTGCACCCAGGACCACGGGGAACGACGAGGGAGCCTGTGTGCACCCAGGACCACAGGGAACGACGGGGGAGCCTGTGTGCACCCAGGACCACGGGGAACAACGAGGGAGCCTGTGTGCACCCAGGACCACGGGGAACGACGGGGAAGAGCAGGATAGACTGGGCCCCCAGGAGCCCATGCTCAGAACGACTGTAGGGGGCCTGTGTGCACCCAGGACCACGGGGAACTACAGGGAAGAGCAGGATAGACTGGGCCCCCAGGAGCCCATGCTCAGAACGACTGTAGGGGGCCAGCCCACGGACTTCATGGAGGACACAGGGGCAGAGCTCTCAGGGGTGACCCCATCTGTGGGCCCCTTGCACGGAGGAGGCTTCTACTACGGGAGCCACAGGTCTCCAAGCTCGTCACCCTGTTCTCTGCCACGGCGATGTGGTTTAGGCGGCCATGAAGTTATACAAATTCCTCTCTCTCCCTGTCCAGTGGCCTCCATGGGTGAAGATATGAGGGAAACCGCAGGCTCAGAGAACTTTCAACTCCCGTGGCCAAGCAGCCCTCAGCCAGGGAAGGCCGGAAGCAAAAATCATGGCTCTTAGTTCCCCAGAGAGAACAGTGGTGCCTTATATCCTCTGAGAAGAGCCCCATGAAGGTGCCTGCGCTATGGGCTTTTTCTGGAACAGTGACAAGGGCCAGCTGACTGAGCCTAGACTGCACAAGGATTCAAAAACTCTCCAGCCATGTTAGTTCCGTGCTGGCCTCTGCATGCTACTCCAGTATGTGGACCTCCTGTGAAAAGGGCAGATTGGGGAGGATTGCATGGGGGCATACACCTGCTCCTCACCCTCCTGTGGGAGGCTGGCTACGAGGTCTCTAGGAAAAAGGCTCAACTCTGCCAAGGAAATGGAGGTAACGTACCTCGGCTTCCACCTGTCCCGAGGGCAGCATCAACTCGGTCCAGAGAGAGAGCAGATGGTCTGCCCCCTCCCAACCCCCCTCAACCCGACACCAGGTTCTGCAGGATCTGGATACCTAATGTCTCCCTTTCGGCAGAGCCTGTGTGTGAAGCCACAAAGGGAGGAGACAGGGAACCTTTGCTGGGGAACAGGCACGGGAAAGGGCCTTCGAGCAGAAGGGCACTCACCAGCGCCCCAGCTCTGGGGCTCCCGGGCGTAGCTAAGCCTTTCCTCCTGTAAGCACGTGGCCAGAGAACTGACTCCAGTGTTGGGGCCTTGGCTTCTTCCAGTGGTGTCTCTAAGGCTGGCCACCCTGTCTCTGAGCCCTCCTAGGATGGGAGGAGATAAACTTACTACGGGGCAAGAGCGAACGCTCCAGGTGCCTCACCCAGTCCTCACGAACGGAATACAAAGGGCAGTACCAGCTGGCGACGGCCCACTTGGCCGGTGTCACAGGATGCTGTGTGAAGCCTGCACACTCACCTGGAGGTGGCAGAAACCTTAAACCCAGCAGCTCCACTGTCTGGTCAGGCCTGGCGGGCCAGACCCTGGCTGCCCAGAGGTCACGGAAGAGGTGTTCTCCAACCAACCGGACTGACCGGGCCAGCCCCTAGGTGAGGACAGTTCCCTCAGCCACAGAAGCTGAGCCCCTGCTTGTGTCGGCTTCAGCACCAAAGGTGGAGCCTGCCAACCTGCAGCAGGAGTTGCTGGCGACTGGTACACAGACCCCCCAGGACACGCTCACCACTCTGCACGGGCACGGGCTTCCTGTGGAAAAGGGGGAAAGAAACCCTCCAGCTGTTGGACACTGTGGGGGCCCCTTGGGGTGGCCAGGGCCAATGGCCCGGGGCGACCAAAAGACTGACCAGGAAGCCAAGCTGGCACCACCAAGCGATCCTAGAGCCAGTCGCCCTGACCTTGTTCTCCGTCCACCTAGCAGAGTGGGACCCAAACTACTCCCAACATGAGCCAGCGTGGTTTAAAACTCAAAGTGAGAAGCCAGCTCTGTGGTATAATGGGTTAGGTACTGCCTGTGATGCCAGCATCCCATATGGGTACCGGTTCAAGTCCCAGCTGCTCCACTTCCAGTCCTGCTCCCTGCTAATGTGCCTAGGAAAGCAGCAGAGGACTGTCCAAGTGCTTGGGCCCCTGCATCCATGTGGGACACCCAGATGGAGCTCCTGGCTCCTGGCTTCAGCCTGGCCCAGCCCTGGTTATTGCAGCCATCTGGGGAGTGAACCAACAACTGGAAGATACCTCTATCACTCTCTCTCTCACTCTGCATTTCAAATAAATAAAATAAAGTTTTATGAAAAAAAATGGAAGTTACATCCCCAGTGGACGGTGGAAGTCTGAGGACAGGCGAGCTGCAGTCCCGGGGCCCTGGCCCCAGCTTTCATCAAGCAGTTCCACCAAGGGGCTTGTACTAGCCAGAAGGCCCTGGAGTCCACACTGGGCCAACACCTGGACATCCCAAGGTGCTCCTGCACAGCTCGAGCAGTATGTGAACAATGCAAAACGTGTGCCTGACACAGTCCTCGCTGGGGGCAAGACTGCCCCCTCCAGGCCCAAGGTGTAACTGTGGACTCCACAGAGCTCCCTGTGTTGGAGGCTGCAGCGTCTTTTTTTTTTTTTTTTTTTTTAATTTTTGACAGAGTGGACAGTGAGAGTGAGAGTGAGAGAGAGAGAGAGAGAGAGAAAGGTCTTTCTTTTCCGTTGGTTCACCCCCCAATGGCCCCTGCGGCCGGCAGTAGGGCTGGTGGCCACCGCTCCAGCTAACGGGAGCCATGGTTCTGTCAATTCACTTCCCTCTTGTGGCTGGGACTCGTTGTCATCCTCGGCTGCTTCTTCCTTGGCTTGCTGTATAGACATAAGCCCCTCACTGTGACTCGTGTATCCGTGTGACATGAACAGGTCAGCATCACCACAACTCCACTTCCCCACACCCATTTCCCCTACCAGGGAGCGGTCTCAGGAGCCTGCAGGCAGCTCCACCTGCCAAGAGGAGCCGTACACTTGTTCCGACCCATGGAATTCCTCAAAGAGCAGTCAGAGGTCAGGAGCAGTGACAGTGAAGGTCAAATAGCGGAATCCAGATCACCAATGCGGAACAGCCAGTCCCCTCTGGTGTCTGTGGGGACTTGGTGTACAACAAGCCACCCCACCTGTACGTGAGCTGTAAGGGGTGCTGGTGGAGACCAGCTGCTACAGCCCACGTGGAGCTCTGTCTTGGGAGTGAAGAATACAGGCTCAACGACAGAGCATGTGCACAACAACCTCAGGCAGTGCCCCTAACTGTCCTTGTTAGAGCTGTGATCCATGCGCCACTTGGTGCAGACAAAACCACGCTTCTTCCCGAAGGCATCACCACATCAGATGGTCGTCCTGGGGCCTGTAACCCAGTTAATTTCACTGTCCTCAACCTAAAAGACCCTGCGTGGGGACTGAGCTGGCAGGCTGGGATGTATGTCTACGGAGGAGGCTAAGACCCTGGAGTCTCGTTAGATTTCAAGAGTTATGATCAAACCCCAGGCCTGCTCTCACAGGAAGTAAAGAAAGCCCTCCCCACCACATCCATCACAACCAGGAACCTGTTCCTGACCCTGGCAGAGACTAACGCTCATCTTGGTGCCTCTTCCTGCCATGTCTGTGGAGGAACCAATGTGGGGACCAGTGGCCATGGGAGGCTACAGAATTAGACCCTCGGAACCCTATAATGAGATAAAGTCTCCCTGCCAAGCTAAGGGTGTTTAGTTCCTAAAAACACCCTTGCCTGATGGGGAGGACTGTAATGCTCCAGTTGGAAACCTGACATGCATGGGCCAAAAATTCTAACACAACCACTCAGGAAACCCAATGGTGGGGAGCCCCAAACCACACAGAACGAGAGCCCCACTCCGTGTCCAACTTCTCCAAACTCCAGCTGGCCTGGGACAACAGCCCTTGGGGGCCCCGCCCTGGGAATGCAGGAAGGCCGCTCGCATTAAGCTGCCCTGATACTGGTCTGGGTCTCGTGTGCTGGAACTATCCACCTCTCCTTCCTACCCCCACCAGCCAGGGAGGACAGAAAAGCCGCCTGAGTAATCCACTACTTGGGTCCTGCCACCTGGGCAGACAGGTCCTGGGGATATCATTCACCCATCTACATGTGAAACTGTATCACGGGTTACAGGCTGCTGCTGCAATTATAAGGAAGCTACAAGGTCTCCACTGGCAGACTACACAGATGTGCAGTGCCATCTGTCAAAACCCACTTGCTTGCTTCTGAGGGGGTTTATGGGAAATTTAACTCAAGCAACTGCTGCTTACATATGATGAGGGCAAAGTCGTAAGTGAGGAAGGCTGGAACTCCAGAGACTTGCTTGGGGGGTGGCTTTCAACCTTTGGAGATCCAAGCCCCTTGTAAGTGCTGTAGTTCTAATGTCAGGGGATCGTCTGAGTCTACCTTGCCTGGTGCCCGACGGTGAGATCCATCTGCAGCCACACGGAGGCCAGTGATGGTGCTGCACCAGTGTACATCCCCGAACCAAGGTGACGCTCCTTGACCCGAGAGGGTCCCAGCATCAGGGGCAGAACAGGGCGGGGCCTTCCCCAGGGAAGGGGACATGACAGCTTCAACTTGCGTCCCTGCGACCTGTTTCTCTGTGACAGTTTCAACAACTCCTTGTAGCACCATGTCAATCAACAGACAGTTTGCTGTGTACAGGGGGAAAGTACCAGATCTACAAGGAGACTGGTTGGCGCGGCCAGCAATCCCTACAGCCACCATGTGGCTTCAGACACCCGCTGGAACGTGCGCAGCCCTGTAAGGACACACGGGAGCGGAGGGCTGTGTAAGGCAAAGCCCCCTGTGCAGGCTCAGTCTTTCGCATGTGAGTGCTCTGGGCCTCAGCCCGGCATGGATGAAGCTGCTCCCGCCAAAGCCTCGGTGTCGCGTCTCTGTTCAAGTATCCTGCAACGTGAGCAAAGGCCATGTCCTCAGAGTTCTTGGGACCTGAGAGCCCCAGGCTGCTGGCTTCAGCCTGGCCCAGCCCTGGTGCATGCGGGCATTTAGAGAACCACCCTGCAGATGGAAGCTCTCTGTTTTCACTCATATAAGACCAAAATAAGTAAATGAAACCTCTAACATGTTTAAAAAATAAGTTTCAAAGGGATGGGCTTTTAGTGCACAGCAGCCAGGATGCCGCGTGGGATGCCTGCATCCTACACAGGAGTGCTGGGGTCCAGGCCGCTGCTCCTGTTCCGATCCAGCAAGGGTCATTGTACCCCTGCCCAACCAGACAGACCTGGCACCTAACCCCTGGACTGAGTTCCCGGAACATAGAATGACGACGCCTTGCCAGGGTCTTACTGTGTACCGTGGGGGCGTGGGCCCTGCATGCGGCCTGGGAGGTGCTGGCTGCTCTGAGACATTCCATATGACTACTTTTTAAAGCACAAATGCCATGATTTTTCTGAATTTGAAAAACAAAATGGGGCATGATTCTAGGGAAACTGCAATATAGAATGATAAAAATCTAAACTTTTCATCGAGAGCAGTGTTTTTACAAAACAAGAAGGAAAACAGCCACGTAGAAGAATGGGCCGAGCAAGAGTGCCTGTGACCACAGGAGCCTCCCTCCGGGCCGCAGGAGCAGGCGGGCAGGCACCGCCCTAGGCCAGTCCTTCACCTCCGTGATACGCCTGGGCCAGGCAGACGAGCGGAGGAGTGCAGGCAGGCTCAGCGCCCAGGAGCCGGGCAAGGTGCACAGACTCTGCTGCCCTGAGCCAGCCAGCCCAGGACTGAGGAGCGGGCAGAGGTTCCCAGGCCGGCAGCAGTGAAGCAATATGAGAGTTACTCTGCCCCTGTGATTTCTGTTTCCACCAGCCAGGCAGGCGTTGTCCTCGAGAAAGACCCCCGCCAGCCCCATCTGGCTGTGCCCGTACTCTGAGCAACGCTCCCACTTCTGGGTACTTTCCCTCCTTTCTTTTTCCCATGCACCCTGGGGAGGTCGTAGTGAGGGTTCCTGAGCCCAAGCTGTGAAGGGAGGCAGAGGGCCCCTCTCCACAACATGGTGTCCCCTCTGCATCAGGGTTCAGTAGACCCCAGACGCGCACCGACCCTGCTGAAGCCGCCTGTGCCCGCTGCTCCCTGGAGGGACGGCAGGCGACAGCCAGAGACCAGCCTCGCCCCCGAGAGCTCGCACCACGTAACTCCTCACGCACACGGCAGCCCCCGAGCTCTCCCTTGCACTTTGCAGAACCCAGAATTCATAAATTCACAGCCTGTAAGCTGCATGGCCATCATTCTCATCATGAAACATTTCTAGTACCTCCTTCAAAATATGTA